CATGGCACCTATAAAGCACTCAATAAACATAAACTCTTAATAATAGATTAGCTATAATCCTTGCTACCCTAGGAAGAGTCATTCCAGATCCCCTTCAATCCCAGGATTCTATACACAACAAACACAATTTCCCTGGTTAACTAACCGTAAAGTCCAACAGAATAAAGTGGTAAAATAACATTCAAACAGAAATAATGGAAATCATCTGGTATCCTAGAAATAGAGTAGGCTTTAAAACTAAATTTGAAATGGAAAGTTGGCTCCATACACTCTATCCTTTCCTTGGTTGTGAGATAGCTTGAGCAAGTTATTGGCTCTCTTTTGACTCTCTTTACTACTCTTTCCAAGTAGTAAAATGGCCATCCCTTTCTCTAAGAGATGCTAAGGCATTGAAAACACAAAGCAAACACAGAATTTGCAGCACAGGGCTTGACAAAAAAACACATTATAGCAGCAGTAGCTAAGCCACTATTTATTAATGTTCTTTAAAAAAAACAGTTCAACCAAAAAAACTGAAAGCTAAAAACAATAAAATGCATGACAGTAAACAATGACCAAAATGTGTCCCATTCCTTGTTATAATATGTAAGATAACAGAATTTCATAACCAGAAGAAATTAGTTAACATAAATAACAACCAAGCAAGCATTAAGGTAATATGAATAACATAGTTCCACAAATGCCAAAGAACACGATTCTTTGAAGTGAATCAAAACCCAGGCAGAAGAAATACTCAGATACGGTGACTGACAAACACTATAAATCAGCAAACTAAACAAATGTTAAGTACTTTTTAATATCATAAAATAATCTATGCTACAAAAATGGTCCTTCATGTTATATGTGGAAGAATTCTAAATATCTAAGAAGTCATATCTTCCAATGAAAATGCTGCCCTTTAGCAAATCTCACTTTTATAACCAGAAATTTATGCTGGTTCACCTAAACACTTATTGAACTATTTTTTTTTTTAACTCCTAAAAAGCTGTAGAAAATTTATGAACTAATAGGGTAAAAAAAGGTAAATTCAACCTCTCTAAATCTAGAAGGAACCATATTTTTAAACATTATCTACTTTTAGAACTAATTACTACCTTGAGCACATTCCTTAATATGGCCAGCAATACAAAGGGATCAAGAGAAATTACCATGAGTGAAAAAGTTTAGTGCTCCCACTTCTATATACCACTAATTGACTAGTTGTGGGGCTTCATTTCTAGGTATCTCTACCCCTATGGTTCACACCTGTCATCTTAAGCTAAATTACCTCACTTGCATCCACCTTACAAAAAGATCAGGAGTTAGCAATACCTCACCAATAAGGCTACCGATTACCTGAGTGAACCATTTCCTCTTTCTACCACAAGCAGAGTCTCTTGTATGAACTCTAGATAACCTCTACCCTGCCTCCTACAAATTTGTCTGTATCCATAGTCATCACCACTTCCTTCCCTCCTGTCTCAGTAGAAGTCTATCTAAAGTGCTCCTGACCTGAACCCTTGCATTACATCCTCTCCAGCTTGGTCAGTGACTTTGCTTCACCAGTCACTCTGCCTCATTCCTGTATCTTTAAATTTTCTTTCTGATGGTTTTTTATCCTCAGGAAATAAACATTGTAAATGTGCTTATATCCCTCATACCTTTAAAAAACAAAAACCCTCTCTCAAACTCACATCTCTAGCTATATTTTTCTCTATTCCGTTTACGACCAAACTTTCTGAAGCAGTAAATGACATCGGCTATTTCAACTTCCTTATCTCTTGCCCAGTGTGAACTGGCTTCACCTGTAAAACTGCTCTTGCTCAGGTCAACAATTTCTTAATTGGTATGTCCATTGGATACTTTAGTTGTCCTCGCCCTATTTGATGTTTATAGATACTTAATACTGATTCCTTTTCTCCAAACTCGGTTCTTGCACTGACTTCTATGACTCTCTTGCCCACTCCTACTTCCCTGTCCACACCTTCGAGGTACGTTTTTCATACACCTTACCCTTAAATGTTGGTGTTCTCCATTCTCATTTCTCTCCTAGTATCACTCTACATTTTCTCCCTATTTCATCCATTGCTATTCCTTTGTTTTTGTTTTTTAGAGACAGGGTCTTGCTCTGCTGCCCAGGCTAGAGTGCAGTTGTGAGATCATAGCTCACCACAGCCTCGAACTCCTGGGCTTCAAGAGATCCTCCTGCCTCAACCTTCTGAGTAGCTAGGACTATAGGCATGTGTCACCATGCCTGGTTAACTTTTTTTTTTAAATTTTTTTGTAGAGATAGGGTCTATGTTGTCCAGGCTGGTTTTGAATTCCTGGCTTCAAGTGCTCCTCCTGTCTTGCTCAGCTTCCCAAAGTGCTGGAATTACAGGCATGAGCCACCACATCCGGCCCATTGCCATTGCTTTTAACTATCATCTATGAACTGTGATTCCAAAATTTACATCTCAGGCTGGGTCTTATTTTTAATTCAGATCCATATATACAACTGCTAATGATTTCTTAGACATTGCAGATGCCTCAACTATAATGGCCTAAATTGAACTCATCTCCTCCAAACATGTTCTCCAATCTATCACTCTTTCTATACTCCCTACCTCAGTAAATTGTCCCAGAATCCACTCAGTTTCCCAAAGCATATATCAGAATTCATTCTATTGATCCCAAAAATATTTATTAATCATTAATTATGTGAATAAGCATGTTAGTGGCTAAAATTACCCTGACTTCACTTTCCCTCAAGCCCACTAAATCCTATGCATTCTACCTTCTTTGCATCTATCAAATCCATCTCCATCCCTTAATTCCAATTTGTACTGCTGTACTTTTAGATTCTCATTTCCCATCTGGATTATGCCAACAGCCTCTAACTGAACACCAGGCTTCCAAGCTCACCTCCTTCCAATTCATCATCCAGACTGTTGGCTATCTGACCATGTCACTGCTATTTGTCATATATAAATTCCCTGAAATTTTCTCAAATTAAAGTAATTCTGCTAACCTACCATGGAATTTTTAAATTCTGTCACTATCTTTAATGTGAAAAACAGTATGCTAAAATAAAGTTTATAAAAATCCTATTTTCCCACTGTAACTTAAGGCAGCATTAGAGAACCCTGCTTTATTAACTATATATGAAAAATTTATTATAAATACAAATATTTGCCGTGTTGGTAATGCTCCTTTCCTAGTCTATCACATGAACCAAAAAATAACCCTGGCATATAAAATCAAGAAAATATATGAGTTTGCAAAATTGTTACCTTCTAGAAAAAAATTCACTATTCTAGTACTCTCCAGGGCCATGAAGACCACTTGCCTATTTCTATAAGCATGGATGATACTTAATAAATATTTATGAAATTAAACTGCTCCTTAATCATGTTTAATCATGTTTGCTATGACTCTCCATAGAATTTATGATAAAAAATATACTTGAGTTCAAGCACACACAATATTCTATGAAGAACAAACCAAAAGTCAACTACTTTTCTTCATCTTCTTCATTTCTTTTTAAAACCCTTTATAAAACATCGGCAGATTAAAAAGTAAGCAAAAGAGAGAAAAGCATGTTGACACTTGATAATCAAGCAAAGGATTACCTTGGCTTTCTCCTGCTAATGTACAGTCTAAGTACACAACTAAGTTGTCAATCAGGTATCAATAGTTCAAAAGTCAGGTAAAATGATTCTCCGGTCACATTATACATCACCACTACCCCATCCTCATTTAGTGATCATATAGGCATATTAAACCACAACTGAAGCAGAAAGTCAGAAGACTTTTCCCCGAGCTTTAACTGGAAATCTGATCTTTTTAGATCGTAGCCAAAAATATTTACCCAAGGTTTTTTTTCCACAGTCTGCAATGTTCTATTTTTCCTTCTCCTTATCTTCAGAAGGCCCTTTTGCAGCATTTCATCTTAACACACCTGAAAAGAATAGCATTTTAACCAATTATTCAAGGTATTCTGGCTTTATCAGCAGTGTAACCATTTCAGATTAAATTATTTGATTAGACATGAATGCACAAAAGGAAACTCTTTAATGTTAGTCTAATATTGCATTTCCTTGTTTAAAGTTTCCAAATAAGAAATATTCCTAAATTTAGAATAAGACATCCTCCCAACTAAAGCCTTCCAAAGGTTTCAAAAACTACTGTACTCATGGAAAGAGCATGACTTAGGTAATCAATGGGTTCTGGAGGTCAAATCCTATCTTTAAAACATACCCAAAGTGTGGCCTTGAAAAAGTTTTTCTCTCAAACTGCTGGGTCCTTGCTGGCAAGAACAGTGCCTTAGTTTACTTCCTATTCCCAGCACCTGCCACACTTTTTATCAAATGAAAATCCCACCTTTGAGATGCCTGGGAGATGATACAGCATACTGATTAAGGGACTGTAAACTGGAGTCAGATTACCCGGTTTGAATCACAGTTCTGACTTTGAACAAGTTACTTTTTAGGGCTATAGGCTTTTGTTCTTTCATCTATAAAATGCGAACAGTAATAGCCTAGATAATAGGATTGTTATATTAAATGTGATAATATACACACATAAAGTATGTACCCCTCAATAGTTACATAGGTAAATATACTGCTTAATGCATCTATTTTTATACTGTGTCTAGTTAACTTAGAATATCAACTTCATTTGCTATGCACAGGGTGAAAGCATCAACATGAAACCGGTTGAAACATACATGCAGTTACAAAACCCTTTACTTTCTTACAGAGGAAACTGACAATAACTTTTTCCCTTTAACAAACGTCTCTAACAAATGTCAACACTAAGGCTAATGGGGAGGGAAAAAAACAACTAATACTCTCCGGAAGGAACATCAACTTCCCTTCACCTTGCTTCGACCAAAGGGAAAATCTGCTGAAGCGTACTCTTCCATAGTGTAGTGCAGCAAGCACCAATTCAGAATACAAAACGCATCAAACCTGGGGAGGAAAGAGGCGGGGTTGGGGTGGGGGAGGGTTGTAAGGCTTCATCGCCCTTGGTCAGCCGACCCTATGTTAAGCAGCATCGGGATATCGCAAACCGCAGCTAGCAGGGCTGAAGCCCAAGCTTGCCGGGTGCACAGTCCTTCCTGCCGCGGAGTCCACACACCAGCAAGTGGAGCGCCGCCCACCCTCCTCACCACCACCCGCAGGGACCGCTCCTGCATCCCAGTCCTTGGCCAACCATCTGACTGTCATGGCCCTTCCAGGCTTTCCTGCTGACCTCCGACACCCTGTCTATAGGTCTCCGCATTGCAGGTAAGGATGGCAGAGGAATATGAGTCGCAGCCGGCAGCCGCGACGAAACGAATCCTCTCAGACGCTGACCCGACTGAGGTCCAGAGACCCTGGAAAAAGGTGCAGCCAATCTCAACCCCGCCCAGCCCGACCCGTCCCCTCACCTGGCGAGTGCCGAGGCAGCCCGGAACCTCTCTGGCCTCTCTCCGGGGAACGCCTAGGGCCTTGGGCAGGGGCGGCGGCGGCGGCAGCAGCAGCAGCAGCACCACCAAGCCAGATGCGGCCTGCGGAGCTCTGCCGGCGCCCACACCCTCCACCCGCGCCGCCCGGGCCCGCCGCCCCAGGTCCGGACCCCAGCCGTGGCCACTGACACCCAGGGGGGCGGAGGAGGAGGGGAGGGGTCCGAACTCAGGCCGGGCGCCACTGCGGCTGCGTCAACCGGTAACGTCACACGTCAGCGGCGCCGGCGCCTCGAGGCTCGCCGCTCGAGCCCCGCCCAGGAGTACGGTGGCGCCCCACCCCTTTCCCCCGTCCCCGGGCTGAGGGCGGAGCCTGAACCGTGACGCCGAGGTCAGAGTCCAAGTTGAAAATCACTTTGGTACCTGCACAAAGAGAAAGTTAATGGCCTTCGCGACTGCAGGGGACAGGTAAGCCTATGTAGGAAAAGGAAGCTAATAAAGGAGGAGAATCAGATGGGTGTATGACGTGACATGCATCCGCACGAAATAGAAATGCATTTATTATCCGATCAATAAAGAGAGCTTGATTATGTGAAATGCTGCAACGCCGAAACTCTCAACTGACTTTATTATTACTATATTAATGAAAAGTGATTTGATGCTCACCGTTTTTAAAGAGAAAGGCGGGCAAACCAAGGGAAACGACTTCCTGGAATTAGATTTATCACAGATGTTTATTTGTGCTCCTGTTATGTACAAACTACTAGGAATAGAAAAGTGGAAAACAGTCTTAGCTCTGTGGAAGCTTTCAGATTGCTTGGAGCAGATTGGAATGTGTGCTTAAGACAACTAGAAATGCCAACAATAATATACTAGCAATAGCAAACTGTCAAGCAGTGGTCATTGACTCATTTAATCCTCCCAAACCCCCGTGAAAGGTATTCTCATTATCCCCATTTATCTCCATTTCACAAATTGAAAAATTAAGGCACAGAGAGGTTCAGTAACTTGCCAAACAGCCAGGGTTTGAACCCAAGCAGTGTGGCTCCAAAACATTGCTGTATACTGCCCCTCAAGTTCTAAATGTCTAAATCTCTAGTTCTGACTTCCTTCAGGAGCTAAGGTACCACATCTCAACATTTCCACATATGAGTCCTGCTCTTACCACAAAAGGAACAGATATGAAACTAAGATAATGCCAGAAAATATATGAGGTACCGTAAGTAATTTTTATTGCCTATAAGGAAAAGGAGGCCCAGGCAGAAGTGGGTTATGAAAGCCAAAAGGAGAAAAGCATACACCTTTGTGAGTTACTTCCGTCTGCCACCTGGACAGTCTTAATGCCCGTATATAAATTAACTCTTTATTTCTGCACCTCTACAAAGAAATTAATTTCCATAATCTTTTTCAAAGTCCAGAAGATGTTTAGTCATTCTCAATCTTTGTTCCCTAGTAAGGTTCCAGGACCCCCACAAGGATTCAAGTTTGCTATAGCCAAACCAGCTTTGCCAAAGAGGAAAATTACTCCAGTACAAGTTCTCTGGGCTAGAAATTACCTAGATATGATTCAGGTTCCCCAAATCAACAACTAAATCAAAACTAAGTTTCCCTGGAACTAAGGGGGAAAAGTTATGAGGGGAGAAGGGAGAGACAGGTGAAATTCACTATGGCCTTCCTATAACCATGTAACGGAATCTGGAAGTTTCTACCTCTCCTTCCCTATGACTAAGAGCCACCCTGGAACTACAAATGTGCATTAGATGACATCATAAAAATAAATTATTTCTTTTAGAAGCCTTTCTATACTAAAGGGCTCTAATCTTGTGAAAATCATTAAGCTCTCTGACATTGTATGTGGCTCAGTAAATTTGCATGGCAAGGCTTACTGCCTTCTCCAGTCTCCCAAATTTAGCTCCTTTCTGTTTACACTTTCATTTCTCACCAGCATGCCACTGAAGTGTGCCAAAGAAACTGCCTCCAGAGAGTTCAATAAGAATTGCTCTAATGATGAAAGCTCTCTAATGATTTTTTTTAACTTTTTATTTGAAATAATTATAGATTCACAGGAAACTGCAAAGATAGTACAGAGTGGTCTTGTGTACCCTTCACCCAGTTTCCCCCAATGATAGTGCAACACAAAAAGCAGGAATTTGACATGGGTACAATGTCTATATATAGCTCTGTGTCATTTTATCATGTGTAAATTCATGTAATGATCACTGCAAACAAAACACAGAACTCTCTTTTATAACGACAAAGATCTCCCTCATGCTACCCCTTTATAGACACACCACTCCCCTCCCAGTACCATCCCTAACCCCTGGCAACCACTAATCTGTCTTCCATTATTATAATGTTATCACTTTGAGAATGTTATGTAAATGAAAGCATTCAGAATATAACCTTTTGAGACTAGCTTTTTTCACTCTACATAAGCCCTTGAGATCTAGCCAAGTTGTTGCATATGTCAATCGTGTGTTCTTTTTATTGCTGAATAGTATTCCATGGCATGGATGTTCCACAGTCTAACCAACCATTCACTCATTGAGGGACATTTTGTTTGTTTTCAGTTTGAGGCTATTACAAATAAAGCTACTATGAAAAATTGTGTGCCAGTTTTTTTGTGTGTGTGGTCTAGTGATTTTAAAAAAAGAAAAAAAATGAAATTTTCTTTGTCTGCCATTTCTTTCAGCCCACTGTGAGGAGGATGCTCTGTGGCTAGTGCATGCTCCAGCGCAGGCTTCAGAAACTGGAAGAAAAGGCGAGTGGCAGCAGGCAGGTGAAACCTGCTCTTTATTGTCGGGGGGATACAGCAGTGGCAAAAAGCATGGCGGAGAACATGGCAAGTGCTTATATATGGCTCTGAACAATAGAGGCAACATGCCATGGGAAAGCACGATCACGTAGGTTCACACAGGAGAGAACACCTTGGTTACATGAGTTTGCTGACTTATGCCTCCCCAGAAGACCAGCTAACCAGGGGGAACTGGGCTGGAAAAAACACTGTGGCAGTCATTTTAGTTTTGGCTAAGAAACCTGTTGCCTGTACAAATGCAGTTTCCCTTACATTCCACCCCCTAGGTAATAGGTTTCACAGCTGACACACGGGCCCATAGGGAGGCCCCTTGGGCCCAAAGGCCACAACAAAAATACAGGGAACAACACAGTATTTTCAGACCACAGCCAATAGCTCCTTACACTAAAAGGGTCCAACGCCAGGAGGACGAGAGATGTTCCCACCATTGCTATAGTGGGTCTCCAGTTAACTGTTGGATGGCCTGGATCTCACCATCAACTTCCTTCAATGCATAGGAAATATCCTCCTGGTGATCAGGTATACATATGCAACATTCAGTATGTATGACTGTACGTGTGCCCCCTTGGGCTGCAGTATGAAGATCAAGGGCCAGGTGGTTTTTCAAAACCACTTTTTTCATTTGAGTGACTTCACCCACCAGGAAGGTTAAGGCCTGCCTGGCTTGATTCAGGGCCCAAGCAGTATGCTCCACTAGGGCATTTACTTTTATTTCTACCTTAATGGCTCCACCCCCAGGAAAAAGGATGGCTACCAGGTAAAACCACCATGGAGTCCATTTCACCCGATGCCAGCAGGAGAACACAGCATTCCAGTTATGTAGTTTTTTAGTAAAGGTGGGGAGGACCTTCCCCAGGACATACAGCCAACCCCACATGCACCTCAAGTGCACCTTCCCATCGAATGAGCAGGAATTTAAAGCCACCCATACCGGACAATGCCCTACTAGCCAACCTTGGGCTTTTCATGTAGGTAACCAGACAGTGAGGCCTTTAAACGTGGCCCAGTTGTCAGTGCAGACATGCAAAAGGGACAGCTCGTGAATGATCACGGCACACAATTCAGCCCATTGGCTACTCTGTCCCTGCCCCATTTCAAACCAAGTTTGATTATGATTCATGCCTCCACAGGAGGGAGACTCTGTCCTTCAAGGTACAGGCTCTCTTTTCTAGGTATTACTGTGATCTGAGGGTCACCATCACACACAAATTCAACAGGACCCAGTACTCTCTGCAATTAAAGGGCTGGAGCCAAACTCTGCTTGTTGCTTCAAATAAGCCCACTTTGCCAGAGTGGGTGTCTTAGCTACCCAGATCGTGGGCTGGTTATCCATGACCTCACCCATCCTGCTATGGGGTATGTGGTGCGCACTAGCACCTTAGACTGCCCAGTTGTAGCTTCACAGGCCTGAAGGGCAGCATACACAGCCGCGAGCTGCTTTTCCACCAAGGAATAGCGTTCCTGGGGGCCCTTCCAAGTCTGGGACCAAAACCCAATAGGGACCCACCGCTTATGCTGGCATTGCCACAAACCCCAGCCCATTCCGCTTGAGTCGACTGTCACATCAAGGTCAAACGGCTGTTAGCGGTCTATTACTTGTAGCATCTGGGCCTGTGCAACAGCCCTCTTGGCTGCCATAAAAGAGGCCTCTGCCTCCAGGAACCAGTCCCACTGTGCCCCCTTTTTACACAATGAATGCAATGGCCGCAACAGTTGGGCCAAGTGGGGAACGAATATATGCCAATACCCCAAAAGTCCCTCAAACACTTGTAACTATTTCACCATAGTGGGTCGGGGGAAGGCTTGAATCTTATCTATAACTGCCTCAGGGATTGCTTTTGTCTTACCCAACCAGACAACGCTCAAGAATTTGACTGACAAGCCAGGTCCCTGGACATTGGAGTCATTTACCGCTCAACCCCATCATTCCAATGAG